TTACACCGGATCTTGAATTCTGATTGGCTGGCGAAATAGTAGCGAAATTTTTTAGGGTGGTGATGCTAGGGGGGTTAACTATACTACAGCAAAATTATCATCTGGGCAGCTTTACTTATTTTGGGTGATAAACGTTAACGTTAATAAATTTATCAATTCCGGCTTATTCCGACCCGAAATATTGGTCGATCTGCTGAATTTTAGTTGATCATCGATCACGTGATATAGGCATTTTTTTTGCCATGACTTACCTAGAATTTTACTACGTATAATGTAATTATATAGGAGGTGACTATATAGAAGTACGCCTGTATTAGATATATTAAATATTTAATATCGACAGATATTGTTGTTTAAATATAACCTAAAATTGATTAGGGAACGGATCGTCGCGTGGATCGAGTCGGATTTCACAAGAGTGATACAGAGACCTTTCTAAATGCACACGAACTTTTAAACATGCATTTAGAGAACAATAAGAAAATGTGCATATATAGGAGTCAAGTATATACTTGGACCGGAAGTTGGGAGTGCATTTAGAGAGGTGGTGCATTTAGAGAAGGTAGGGTTGTTAATGGAGCACTCCGTTGACTCCGTTTTAATAGTAATACTCCGGAGTATTACTATTAAACAGCACTAATTTAGAGAGGTCTCGGTACTTTTTTTGCGGTATGTACTAGCGCTAATTACGTACGTACGTACCTGCAATATGTGATACACTCAATCATCTGGGTAACCCATGGGTAACTCAGGTTACATTTTTGAACAGTCATTAACGATAATGAATAGCGATAGGGGTTAGCGTTTAAATTAATGTAATACGGTAGTTAAAGTATTATATTTATTAATCATAAAGTTCATTACTTTATTAATTGTTACGGCTGATGCTGAAGTTTGGCTGATGTTGAAGCTAAAAAATCTGATTGGCTAAATTTTGCAGATCACCCTAACCCTAACCAATCAGATTTTTTAGCTTCAACATCAGCCAAACTTCAGCATCAGCCGTCACATTAATTAAGATTGAATCTGTATAAAAAAAACAAAGTGAGAATCTAAACGTTTAATTAATCAGCAATGTAAATGTGACCAGTACGCAATTTAGATGAGTCACCTAAATTCTGCATTATATTCATTATTTTGGTTAGTCATTGCATGTGAGCGCGATTCTTTTTACCGTGTTCCGTTTTGTTTGCTTTTTCAACTCTATTTCAACATTATTATATAGTTGAAATGTTCAAGATGTTCACAAACTTCTATTTTCTCATTATAGATTCAACTACTTGCATTCGTACATAAGTCTTAATTATAATTTATGGTATGCAGCTAATATACATCAATTCCGAAGAATGCATGAATCAAAGATAATGGGTTAGCGAGTATAGTTAGTTTGTGCTTGTGTCCTCATATGAATTACGTACTCAATATTCATCCGTATCATCGTATAAAGAAATTGTTACCTTTTTGTAGAGGATCACATGCCGATAGTTTCCGCTCTTGCTTTTCTATATTAAGTTTCTGTCGCACGTATTCTGAGAATTTAAATCACGTATATGAAGGATTGAATTTTGAAAAAACGAAGAAGCTGTCGCATTAACTTTCGTGCATAATAAACGCTTCTTTATATAAAAAGGCATATTAATATAATAATATACATTTATTATTGTTATCATCAATTATACTTATCTTTCCACCAAAATAAGAATAAAAGTCTCACGTATAACGAAGGAAGATCATGAGTGCTTTTACAATCGGTGTTATTACAACATTTTTACTCATAATAAATCTTGCCGAACACGGACCAGAGTTCTTCAGAAATACTTTTTATTGTCAAAATTATGAAGAAAATTATTATAGCGATGTGGAAGATGAACTTGATTATTACACTGAATATGATCAATACGGCGATTACGATCAATATGAATGATTAGAGATGAAATACTGTATATAGAGTATATAGAGATTTATTAAAACTTATTAAAACTAATCGTTATCGAATTATAGCTATTTTCTAAAATATGTTTTTTTATTAAATAGTGAAAGATATTTACAATATCCTGAAAGGATATTTTGTTTATAAATTTTTCTCAACCTTATTATTTGACGGGATTCAATAATTTGGTTTTCTAATTTCTGGATATTTTTTCTTTTAGCTTTGATGTATATTATTATTAATAGTAAAGTATTTTTAAATTTATTTATAATTTTATAGTAACATGTGGTTAAACGATTTAGCTATTTATTATTGCCACCTTCGAATACTTTCGAATGAAATAGCAAAAGGTGATGCATTTTAATTTGTGTACAAATTTTGTATTTTAAATCTTTAAAAATACATGAATATAACGTTAAGTTTAGAAGAGAGAGGTGCCTCTTAAGAAAATCTAATGATATAAAAGTAGTTCAACAATGAACCTATCGAGTGTTGCTAATTTGTCCCCTGGTTAACGTAACCACCCTCTTATTATAACTTAAACCGGCTTAAATAACCATGTTTGATGCACTAAGTACAAATGTTTAGTACTATAAAAACCTTATCCTAGTTTTAACCCTAACTCTAATTCTAACTTAATATTAATTCTAATTTTAATTTATTTTGACTTCTTGTTTATCATAAAATTTAATATGCATATGTCTGCCGAAATGCGTTTTCTCGAATCTTTTATTAAGTGAAAAATAGGTTAAAGTTAGAAATTTTTTTTTTTTTTAAAAAAAAAATAGTTTTTTCCTTACTTTACCGCCATTTTTACTTAGGTAAAAGGTCCGAGAAAATGCGTTTCGATCAGTGTTACCCTATGACTTACATGACTCGATATCATAAAATATGACAAAATGACATATCATACGTATGACATGATGACATATCCTATGACTATGATGACATATCATATGACTATATGAATGACTTGATATTATCATTGTCCAACATTGATTTCATGCATACTTTATACTAAACTATATATATATATATAGTCAGTGTTATAAATTCAAAAAATTTTTATTGGCGCAAACACAAAAAAAAATGCACAAAAAAGAAATTTATACGCGCATTATATATATGAAGAGTGCTGATATATGGCAAATTTAAATCCATGTACGCTGCGCGCCTACTGCGCGGACCCAATTTACATCACTGTATATCGATCGATATAGTAATAAAACGGCGGCGTTTTATACGTACGTAGTGCTAAAGCCTTATACGTATATTATAGTTATAATTATAGTTATAGTTATACGTAGTTATTCTGTGGTTTAAACTTCAATAAGAAAAATGGTATAATTAGTATAGTAACATATATATTATACGTAATACGTATGTTATATAATGAAAATTTTGTTATTAATATACAATGTGTTAATTTTACATGCAATTCATAAAGTCATAAGGAAAGTACATCCGATAAGCCAAGATATTATTATTGCTAATCTTTGTTGTAAGCGTATACTTTTTATGCGTCATTCTTTAATTTATGTATCGTTTGTCAATATATGTCACTTTGCAATTAAACTTATGACTAAAAACGTAAAACATATTAATGTCTAATGTCGAGATTTTCATTTTGACCATTTTTTTAATCATTATTTTTATTAACATTTGGGTTAGCTAGTATTAAATGGCTGCTCTTCTTGAACATTATGGTTAAACATTCTTAAATATTGTAGGTTGGAAGTTCTTGATATTTCTTTTTTTTTTTTTGACGATCCTGCCTTTATTATTTAAATCGGAAGTATCAGAACTTTACATTTAAATTAAATATAAATTTTTTATACTATATTCCTGTACTAATAAAGACTCACTTGGCATTAAAACCCAGGTGTGACCCGCCTAAGCAGCCAATTTGCTTCATGTTGGATCCTCAACTTACTGAGGATTTAGTTTCTTTGGGAGCTGCTGATCTTGTCAGATATCATCATTTTTTTTTGTAATATTGGTTTAGAAAGATTAGTTTGGCTTAACATTGTAACTGATTAGATTTTGATTGTTTTCTTTCACCACATCTAGAACTTGTTTTTTCTTTTTTTTGAATACCTTTCTATATATATTTTTTTTTGCAGTTCTGTTTTTCTTGTTATCTGATTCTTGAGTTGATCTTTTTTTTCACATAATCTTTTTTTTCTTTTTAGCTTCAATGGTAATTCAATTTTTTTCTTCTAATCATTTATTAGTTCGTATCTAAGTTCTATATGCAGGTCTAGAATCTTTTATTGAACTTTTTTTTAATCATATCTAGTACCTTGCATCTTATATTTCTGTTTCTATTTTCTCTTCAATCTTGCTTTTCTTTCTTTAGTTATAAGGTTTCTTATTAGATATCTTCTTGTTTCTATTCTTTCTTTTTATGTTTTTTTAAAAAAAAGTTTTTTGACTACTTTTTTATCATTGAGATCTCTTTTTGTATTTTCTTTTTGGAGTACTTTGAGACCTTCATTGTTAACTTCATTTTTAATAATATTTCATATTTTTTGATATACTTTGCATTTGACAAGATAATCTATATTTTCTGCCTTCTCTTTGCAAATTATACAAGTGTTTATTTTATAAATCTAGATTTTCTTGTATTTAGTTCTATCAAGGTTGACAGTAGCTTATTTATTTTACAGAAACTTAAAAAGAATTGATATTGGGTTTAAAAACTAGTAAATAATAGATTTAAAATATATTTACAATATTTTTTTTAGATACTTAGTTTATAACTAAGTTATAACTAAAAAAGATTATAGTTTAATAATATTTTTTTAAAAAAACATTATTATAATATTATAATCACTAATTAATAGCTAGTTAATATCAAAGGTTTGGGTCTTGTAGCTTATTGGTTAAGCTCTCAAAACTCTATAGACAAGGTTAACAATTCAAGTCAGGCTAGAAGCAAATTGAATAATTTATTTCTGTAATCTTCGAGGACTATAATTGAATGTAAAGCTCTGTAGCAAAGTTCAAGTACAGATATGATGCTAGAATAGGAATTTTCAAAAAAAGACCTAAATATAGAGTATTTGTACTATATATAACTGTGGTATTACAGAAGATTGTGACTATAAAGATTGTACAAATAAGTTCTTAAAAGATAGAGTAGTACCAAAATCCTTGTATCTCTAGGCTTGGTAATACCAACATCTCTACACCTGAATTAAAAGTATCTCTGGCAATAAAAATAAAGATACTATAGAAGGCAAAAATTATAGAGATTGTCTAACGTTCTATATACATATAAAGGTACTGAATTAGATTTTAGTTGTACCTATATAGAAGTCTATGATGAACAAGTTTAGAATCTACCAATCTTTGAGATTTACAATAACAAATAGTAGTACAGCATTACTAGAATTAGTATAACTCTATAGGAATAACTAGAATTGTTCTGATATTGTATGACAATATGCTAGAAGCAAGTATTATATGGTAGTATAATATTACTAGAATCAGTAAACTTCTTGAGTATAACCAGAATTGTCTTAAATACTTGTAGAATATGTCCTAAACTTACTATAACAGGTAGTATTTAGAAGAACAGAAGAAGGCATCAAGTAACTATAATGTTAAAACCTGAAGCATCTGCGATTAAGCTATAGTAACAGAAATT